TGACTTGACTTTGCGCCTTTCCAACCCCCCAAACCAAGGGATGAAACTCAAGAGAAAAAGAAAACAAGACCGATTGGACGACAATCGTGAAGGTGGTTCAAGAATCGTCAACGACCTTCATCCTGCTATCGCACAGCCTGCAAGAAATACCTTTCCTGACGTAAACTATGATCCAATCGTGTCGAAAGGTAAACAAACGCTTTGACAAGCCTCTCTGCTTCAAGATACTTTATAAAATGAATCTGAGATTCCTTGGGGTAATCAAAACGAAGCAGACTTGTTGAAGTATATAGATTTTTATTTGGTTTGTTAGCAAGCTGAATGTTCATGTGCGCTGGAGCTTTACATTTTCGTTGTTACATTTTGTTTGATCATATAGCTCACAACACTGTTATGCTTGTACAAAAAAAGTTTGAGGCTCGAAGTATCCAATCAATGTATGGTATTTTAGTGTTGTCTTCTCGTTGATGTGATAACGTGGGTTTGCTATGTTCGTGAAACAATGTAGCGCAAGATTTACCTCCACCCAAGCCACCAAGACGTGGAATACAGCTTCCAACCTTTTCTACAGTCATGTGATTTCTGCTATCGACCTATTGATACCGGGGGATGAATAAACAGTATCCTAATGCACAAACTTTCAATTTTATCATAGTGATGTGACAGCATACCTTATAGATTATGTTGAAGCGCAGGTACTGCATGCATCACTGTGTCTATCAACTATCTGTTGAATGTTTTTTGATACCTTGTGTTCTCTGGTTGCTCTTTTAAAATGTGCCGCAAGATATTAATTCTTTTACGCACGACATTTTTAAAATGCTCATGTTTTCTAGTCTCCATTATCGAGTATATTGAGATTGTTTTTATGATGTGTTGTGTTCCCCACACAATCTTTAAATTATCAGTTTCAAAGAGCCGCATAAAGAAAATAGAGTAAGACCCAACAAGTCATTAAGAGTAACAAGAATCCCTTGCTATTATCTGTTGTGTCGCATTGGCACCGTTTCGCTAGATGAAGTATTCAGAAATGAATTTTCAGGCTCACGTCAAATTGGTTTTTCTGTGTACAAAGCGTATGACGACCTCGTTGCATGTTTGATATTGATCTAAATTGTGGCATTTCAAAATACATACCTTTCGTGAGATAACAAAGAAATTTAGAATTAAAACTCTCGGTTCGCCGCGTACGAATCCAACTTGCCGACGAGGAAACTTTCAGTCCAAGTTTTTTCTGTGCAGAGTGCACGACAAAACTTGAATTCTCGATAAACTTAACATTACACATCCATTTCCTCGGGATTTTTCAAAAAATGGATGACACCTAGTACTTAAATTTCATATTTTCGTAATGTGATTTTTATAGATATCCTATCAAAAACTGGCATTTATTATAGGCGGCTTGAAAGACGCACGTCCGTGTGACGCGTCAACCGTGTGGAGTAGCGAATTCCGCAACTAAGCAGTGAAGCGATTTTTTGTGAAGTGACCGGGGTGACCCTAGAGGCTGTAAGTCTTCCCTCATAGCCATCGACAGAAGGTTGCTAAAGTTGAAGAAATTATGCATCGTGATATATCTAAGGAATTGCAAAAGGGTGTGGCCACAGAAATTGTATGTTTAGTACCAAAAGAGGACTGCTAATTAGATGCTAAAACCTGAGTCTACATGTTTATTATGCATGGCTCTCTTTCTTTCTTGTCCTGAAATTGCCATATCTGTACAAAATGACTTATAATCTGGTCTGTAAACCATTAAAAGGACGAGGGGTGTTAGTATTTGCTCGATAGACCTGTTTGAGGGATCGGAACCCGCAATCGTGAAAGTGAAGCTGACGCACCTTAACTTCTCGGCTAAATTGAGTTTGTTATCTGGGCGAACAAAATGTAATACTGTTCCATGTAATTTAGACATGCACTCGCAGCATCATTCTTCAACCGTATTGAGCGCCGTCATCTCTACATGCCGTAAATGCTTGTTGATCTTTGGCAATGCTTTGGTCTATAAATGCAAACATCTTTGGATGAGTGGCAACCACGCTCAACCGGTATCGTCTACCAAGGCATGGGTATCATTGCAGTGAAGACATATCTAGATGCCGATTGGGGAAGCAATACCGATGACATACGCTCGGTTTCAGGAATTATGATCATGATTACAAGTGCACCAGAGGTGTTTAAGTCAAAAAGCAGCAACCATTGCACTCCGCTTGGTGGAGGTTGAGTATCGGGCTCTCAGCCATTGCACTAGAGAACTTCTTTGAGCGCGTGTGATGCATTAGGCATGGTCTCGAGCAAGTACAAGGCATCCAAGCTTGAGAAGACTACCAAGGAGCAACCGCTTTAGCCAAAATGCCGGACAAGCAAAGTCTTCAAGTGGCTTAGTACGCGAATAACAAGCTTTCATTGCTGCAGTCTGGAGCTCTCGTGACATACACACTTATGCAACATCCAATCGAGTGCATGTAGATATTTACAACAGGCATCCATTATTTTCGGCTGACTTACGTATCCATTGACATTGTCATCACGTAGCGTAAATTCGATATAAACGTTGTTTGCAAGCAAACTGATCAAGAAATCAGCAATGACAACCAGCTGTTTCATTGGTGAGTAACTCCGCATGATTCCTTCAGACTTAAATTATGTTAGAAAACAGAAAATATGCTTGACAAAATCGATTGCATAAGCCTGCTTGACCTCCTTCGCACACCAGTGCCATTTTTGGTCACGCTTCTTGGCAAAGACCCATTCTGATACAATGATCCGATTGTTCCCGTTTGGATTTAATACCCACGAATGTTTTTGCTTATGCGAGCGAAGCTCAGCTCAGCTCCGATAATTTCAAGCCACTTCGCCGCATCGCCGCTTGCCATTGCTCGGACATATGAATTTGGCAAATCCATATCATCATTACTTTCCATCGTGTAAGCAAGAACAGCTTCGGCAATGAGTTCGTCATCGTCAAAGTCAGGCACATTTAGGTGTCGATGGGTCATCACTTTCTTCTGTTCTCTCTTCGTCTTTTCACCTGTTCCATAGCAGAAGCATTGGCTCATGTCTTCGTCTTGTTCGCACATCAGTCCAAATACTTAACAATATTCCTGACGCATTTGCAGAGATATAAGCGATACTCTGTTATCTCCAACACCACTTGATATAACAATCAAAAGACATCCGCTGCTGTCGATTGGCAATTGATGTACGATTAACGTCTGTGAAAGGTTCTTTATCTTTTCTCAAAGATGTGGCTGTCGATTAGCTAGGTTTTGAACATAATCATCCGTACTAAACTTTATACCTCAATGTTCGCTTCTGGCAATCGCGCATGCGTGTCGTAAAAGTCGCGTACTTCACGCTCATTCAACGAAACAGAATGGGCCGCCCTTCCCCTGCCATTCTCCAAGTTGGACACGCGAGATTTCTGCATAAACAATAAACATGCATTTAAAGCTTCTGTGTTTGAGCTTGTTCTCATTGCATCGTTAGCAGTAGCATAAACACGCAAAAGTACATCATCCAATACATCATCTTCAAAATCGATTCATCAAATAGCCGACTATTTAGTCCCAATGTTCTAAATGTAAGCATATCGAAGGTCATTTGCATGATAGCCCGGCGTATGCGCTTCGCCACACCATATTGTTGAGGGCTATATGGAGCGGAACGTTGGCGAACGATGCCGATCCCACGACATATGACGACCGTCGCTTCGGTCACAAATACTATTTAGTAATCGGATATCAAGCATGTGAGACAAACTCACCACTGATCTTCGTATAAAGTTGTGAATTTCTTGAACATGCCGATTACTTCACGCTTGCAATTAATCACGGAGATTGCATTAAATCTTGAAAAAATTGATTTAAAAGTGGAAATATATTTGCACCTCCCTTGGAGGGATTCCGCATGGGTTTCATGATTTTGACATGCACGCATTCCAACACATATCGTCTTTATAATCGAACGTGAGAGGAATGCCGTGACTGTCTACTTTCTCTTCAAACATCCAGCACATAATTTATCTGTTTCTTGCTGTACTATCGAGGTGCATTTGTTCGTGCGCTGTATCTTAAAAAAAGCAGCAATATTTTGGTTTGCCATGAGTCCCACAAAGCGCTAGCCCTGCAACACTTCACGTCACATGCTTCTTTCTGCTGCTTACAGTCATGCATGTACACTTTACCAACTCTAGAATCCGATGCACTCGCCTTTTTGTTTCAGATGACACACGGCAATCGCAAAAACAAAACTGCGTTTCGCAAGCTTGCCAGCCACCAAGAATCTTCTGTCAGTCCTGTGATATACAAATCTTCAATCATGCGAAATCCCTTTCCACCCAGCCCAGTCATTTCATGGTGCCTTTTTCTTTGGCATGTACATTTTTGTCATGTGCAATTGTTACTGCAAATCTCAAGGTCCTTTTATTCGAACAGGTCCTATTAATACTGGGAAATATGGGATGTGGTGCCACTGTCGATTAGCAACTCTGCCAATTGTTCTTCGCTCACCGCAAATTCAACGTCCACATTGCTGACACGTCTTCCGGCTGGTCATTTCTGCATCAGATGACTAATCTGGCCACAGCTTAAATTTATTTCATGAATTTGCTGTTATTGGGTGGAAAGCCACCTTTTCAAACGTTGAATCGTCCACCTTTAATCCTACCATATTCCCGTTTACGCGTAACGCTCTATCCGTAGCCTCCTTTCTGCGCCGTTTCTCAGATTTTTGCAGCTTTTTCTTCATTTCAGTCGCTGTTGCGCCCTTCGCATTTTCCACAATCGGTGATTTTTAATCTTTTTTCGACGTCCGACTGCTGAGAAGTACCACAACTCGATAACTGACTTTACCAACGTCTGGACACCCACAACTTGCTTGTCAAAAGTGTCGAAATGTTCCACCATGCTAAACTACTCTTCGTCTTCACGCCGTGAAGTTCATGCGTCATCGCCACGCGTATGTGTTGTGTCGGGCAATTGTAAATGCGACATAGCGTATCCTATGCCTCCATGGCACTCGTGGCGATCCTAATTTTGATCTGATGTCAAAACGCAACTCATTGCGCAATATTTCCAACGCCTTAATATCATTGATAAGCAACATCTCTGTGATATCAGCCATGAACTGTCCCGGAATACCCTGTATCATCCTCATTTGTAATTCGAGTGGTAGAAGTTACGACTCCCCGAAGATCATCCGCGCTCTTGTTTGCCATCGTGGGTACGGACGCCGTTGTGAAGAAAAGATTGATTGCGGCCGTCAAACTTTTAATCGAATAATAGAACCAAACTAAGAAATCTATCATTTTTCTATTTTTATCGTCCTAACATTAGCCATATCTATGCGAAATCAATCTGAAGTACTGATTAAAATTTTGCCAAAAAGCCATTTAATTTGACAAGGGGACGAAGGTACTGGTAAGAGACCCCACCGTGATCCCTAGATACCGTGTAATTAGCTTGACCCTTTAAAAAAAAATTTGAGCTTTCAATCATAAAGGCAACCGCGCGTTAGCCGTAATCTGATTTTCATTTAAATTTGCCCAATATATGTGTCTTTACAGCTACGATGTTAACCAATCAGCGATGCACGATGCGTTCGATGGATATAAAAGCCAAGATGTGAACTAAGGACAAAGAAGCAAAAATATTAACAAGTCAGTCAAAGTGTGGTTGATAAACATTATTTCCCCAAAAGTCAATACGGTTAATCAAGTACATAAATTGTCGAAATTTAAAAAACATTCCTAACTCATGCGAGGTGCATTTTACGTGGGAGTTTCTCATTGCAACTAGCGCCCGCAAAGCAGCTGAATCTGTCCAGGTCAAAACTGTACTATTGCAATACCATGACAAATTGCCAGTCGGTGATGCTTACACAAAGACGTAGCCTAGAAGATCTCTTAAAAGGGAGCGGTGATTAACAGGGAACCTTATCGGCGAAGAAGAGCGCGTCAACCCAAATCCGCCCCATAAACTATGTTTGTTGCCATTTGATGCAGCATTTGATACTTGTAACAGAGTCGATCTCTCGATGCCCCCCATCAGAGCATAAACTGTGTAGTGGGTCTGTTGTCAAACCACATCGTGATACTCTTCAAATTATGATAGAAAACACTCGTATAATCTTTTAATCTCTTAACTCGCACTCAGTGCTTTGCGTGTGTACTTATAAACATATTCATTCATGTCGGAGGCCGCGCTAAGCACCTTGTTACGATTCGCCACTCAATACAATGTTGCGGACATATGTCTTTTGTACATGCATAAGTATCATATTTCTTCGTACAGAAAACGAACTCAGATGACCCTAGTAGCCAACGCACGGTTGCTCCACATTCATGATTGAGGGTTCGAAACTCCTGAAGGATCAGTGTTTAGGGTTCAACGTGAAATACTCAAGCAGAACCTCCATCCCCGTGTCAATTTTAATGGCTTGATGACAAGAACTCTATTATTATTTGGGTGTAATTTATGACAAATATGGTCAATGTCAGGACGATAGCATATAGAAAAATGGTAAAACTTTATGTTTCGCTATACCATCAAGCCAAACGTTTGAAGGCTATAATCAATCTTTTCTTCGATGGCAAACATGAGCTCGGATATCCTCGTGGCCAACCTAATCTTGGTTTGATGTTAAATCGCAACGCCTTGCGCCATGATAAGCGATGCCTTAATGTCATTTATAAGCAACGTTTCTGTGATATCTACTATGATATGCCTGAAAAACTTTGTCACCAGAGTTATCCTCATTTGAAATTTGGGTGGTAGAAGTTTCGACTCCGCGGGAGTGCCATGAACGTTATGTAACATCTGTAATTGCTCGACACAGCACAATCGCGTGGCGATGATGCAATAACTTTACGGCTTGAAGATGGATAGCAGTAGTACTAGCATGGTGAACATCTAGACACTTTTGACGAGCAAATTGAGGGTCTTCAGACGATGATAAAACCAGTTCCCCCTTGACTTCCAGTGTCCCCACTCCCTGCTCCATCGGAGCCTAATGTTATTAACAACATTGACGAAGAAGTGCTATTTCCGATGTCTTCGTCCAGTGGACTACGTGCCAATACACTCGTATCGCATGGGCCTCGCCCATGATGGCTCGGACTTCGTCCGACCATGCCATTCTTGGCATGCAGCAACTGCTTTGTAATGTAGGTAGTGCTCAGGGGGTTACATGCCAATCCACGCGTATCACAAGGTTCTCGCAATTGATGCCTCGGCAATTGCATTTGGCCGACCATGCTCGTGCTCGTAGCGCCTAAGATCTTCGAACTCCAATCAATCCGAGGCTCATGGTATTCCAGCCATGCCATACCAAGGAACAGTCAAACCT